TGGTAGTGGGGGGATGAGGAGCTCTGGTTTGCTGACCTCCTGGTGTCACCAGTCGGACACAGACCCTCTCAAGCTACCAGCCCGACATCCCTGACCGGGGACGAGGCCCCATCAGCGCTCTGAGCGGCGAGAGCGATTCCAGCAAAGCACTGCCTACATCCCCGCCCCTCAGGGCTGGTTACGAAGCCTTTCTACGCGACGCTTATGCAGACACAGACTGCGAAAGGATTGTCTGGAGACCTGAAATCTGAAGGTTCAGTGCGCAGTGACTGTGCGAATCCTGCAGAGCTACGTCTCTGAGGGAATGACCGAATCCCTCCCAGAGGAAACGTGCCCTTCGGAACACAGACGAGCTGCGGACATCGGCTGTCTGGGCAGATGGAGACAACCTGTCCCCTCAGCTTGTGCAAATATTGCTCTGATGATGACACCAGGACCCAGCACAAAGGTGAAGGCACCCAAACATGCTAACACGGCACCTGGACCCATGGTCTGTCTCCAGAAAAGCATTCCCCAAACATGGATATTTCTTTTTCCATGTAACATACATGTCTGAGGATTTCATAGAATTATGTACATTATAAGACAGCGAGATAAGGGTAAGAGACAAGTAAACAATATTTTAAGAGCTGATTTTATTTATGAACGGATGGGAAAATCTGAGCTGTCACTAATAGTTAATATGGATCAGATCTGTCTCTGGAAGAAATGGGGTTAAGTACATGTCATCAGTTTTAAACACCTTTTCATAAAGCAATTTGAAGACTCTGAGTTCTGTCCATTGGGACACTTGGTTGAATGGCCTCAGATTTGGGAAAATGCCACACAAAGATGCCCACGTCCACACGGCAGACGCCCCTGGCGGCTCTGCGTCCCCTTCATGGCGCTCCCCTTCAGTCCCGTTCACCGGTTAGGTACAGGTTTTTGGTGAAAGGCGCTGGTAAATCTATATATTTTCCCTGACATGCACCAGTTGTTTCTACAAGCTCACCAGAAGGTGCACCATAGTTATACACTAAACAGATGATTTGAAAAGCAACTGAAATTCCTTATTTGGAAGGTTGTAAACAGACTAGAAAACTTTATCGACTTTTTAAAGTGGAAAGGTACTCATTTATGTGGGTCAAACCTGTTGGTAGAAGTGTTACTAACATACATGTTCAAAATGCTCTCACCGCATAGTAAGGCCGGCAAACGACAGCCTACCTACCCCCCGTGTCTGTACAGTGTGACTGGACCACAGCCACGCCCGCGCATGTATGGACGAGTCTGTGGCTGCTTTCCCGGGACAAGGGCGGGGCTGAGTAGCCGCAGCAGAAAGTATATGGCCTGCATCTGGCCAGTGTGGCTCAGTCGGTTGGGCACTGTCCCAGGTACCAGAAGGTTGCTGGTTTGATTCCTGATCAGGGCACATGCCCAGGTTGCAGCCCCATCCCCAGTAGGGGGCGTGCAGGAGGCAGCTGGTCAATGCTTCTCTCTCGCGATTGATGTTTCTATCTCTCTCTCCCTCTCTCTTTCTCTCTGAAATCAATAAAAATATATTAAGGAAACACAAATATAGATAGGTAGGTATGCGGGGGGAGAGAGAGAGAGGAAAACACACACACAAAAAAGCAAGATGGATCTACAGTTTATTTTTATATCCCAATAGACAGATCAGTGCTTCCCCCAAAGGGTGCACAGTCCGTAGCGCCTGGAACTAAACTTCTCAGACAGTAAGTGAAGCTTAGAACGCCCGGAGGGTGTCAGACTCCATAGCGAACCGCACGCCGGCTAAAATTAGCTCTGGTAACAGCGCACATGACGGGCTATCTTAGTCCTCACCCAGCAGCCCTCCTGCAGGCGACCAGCGAGGTGACCAGTTACACTGTTACTGTCAACTCAGTCTTCTCTCTTGTCCACACTCCGTTTACACAGCAAATGCTGAAAACTGCTGAGCTACACAAAGGACGGAAGGCGTCCAGGTATGGGGAGCCCTGGTTTTGTTCATTGTTCTGCCACTAAATGCGATAGGAAGACAGGGAAAGGCCCGGATTTGGCTAGAAAAGGCAGCTATTGGGTCTTGTGCTTGGGATCCTTCGTTAGGGAACCGTGAAAAGGAAAGAAACATGAAGAAAGACTTGGTGACCAATTAAAGATGAAAGAACCAAAAACTGCCAGGTTGTTCTTTTCCATACCCACTTAGTTGCCAAGTCCTATGCCTTTTAAAATGTCTCCTACTCTGTCCCTTCTTTTCCAAGTCTGATGTAGGAAAATCCTTCCCTTTAACTGGGCGTGCTTTTAAATTGGCTTTCTCAATGATGTCCTCTATCCAATGCCCCTTCTCTCATTTTCCACATCACAACTGTCTTCTAAAATAATATGATCACATCTTTACTGCACAAAAACATTGGCTATATCCTTATTTATTTATTTATTTATTTAATTTCAGAGGGGAAATGAGAGGGAACTAGAATCAATGCAAAACTTGGACTCAGACAAATGCTGAAGGAGTAGATACAGTATATGCCATGGAGTTAAGATTAAGTTCAAATAGATGAAAGGAGTTCGAACCTGGGACCCTTCACAGTCCACAGGCCGATACTCTATCCATGGAGCCAACTGGCCGGGCAGATATATGCCCCCTTAGGTCATCTGGGTGAATTACCGGTTTTCACTAGAGTTAGAGTCATCCACATCACTCTGGCTCATGAACCCTTCACAGGCCGGTCAGTAGCTTGGCTGGGTTTCCAATGTCTGCTGCTCGACCTAGGGGTGAGCAATCCAGCAGCCGAGACCTACTGACCGCTGTCCACGGGGCTTTATTTGCGTGACGCTTATTAATTTGTGCAGTTATTCAGTGTCTGCTAAGTGAATGTTCAAGAAAAAATATTAAAAAAAGAAAAAATATTAATTTCTATTAAAAAGTTCTATTATTTTATGTTAACGATGACTCATTTGTTTCAGCCCTTTGTATTCAGCATGCCTCTATTGAAATAAACCTGCATTTCTATGAAAATGGAAGCTTTTGGTTTTGGGGGGCCCACATACACGTAAACCTTGTTTATTTGGCCCATCTTAGCCTTTGAGTTTGACATGCTTGCTCTTGAGTATTTCTGTCAACGTGGTGGTGCCTCCTGCTGTCCCTGCCTCAGACCATTCACTCCCGCCGGACACTCTGAGACTAACACGCTTTCAGACACGGCTACACAGTTCGGCACATCATCATTCCGCACCCACTGTGTCATCGGAAATCAAAGACAGCTGTGACTTCCCGGAAGGGTGGTTCCAGCTGAAAGCTGAGAGGTGGGCACCACGGGGAAGGACAGGAAAGGGATTTACTAGACGTGGGGGAACCCCAAGGAGGGGACGTGTCAGGACAAGCAGGAGGAAGCCCCCGGGGAGGGAATTCACCGGGGAACTGCACACACGCAGGCCACTGATCACGGGGAGCAAGGACACAGGCGTGGCAGGGCCGGTGCATTCATGACAGACCGCCTCGGGGGCTAGGCGGGGCATTTCAATGTGACTTCATAGATGCCGGTGAATAAAAAGGGAAGAGCTGAGGAGGAGAAGACGATTCCAGCAGGCGTAGTCAGGCATGTGGGAGAGACACAGACGGGCAAGCAGAGATGTGGGGAAAGAAACCGTACGGTTTAAAGGGAGATTGCAGTTAAGGAGAAGAAATCGGCAAAGAAGAGTCGCCTTGGAAACCAGGGAAATGGAGACATCCCTAAAAATCAGCCAGGGACCTGGGGAGCAAAGGGCTGAGAATGGGGAGCGACGGCTGTGCACTGGGATTTAGGCCCGTCCAAGAGGAGCTACCGAAGGCCCGCTGTCGCCCAATCCAGGCTGAAGCCGAGGACCGAGGGCCAGAAGAGACAGGTGTGGCGATACCAACGCCTTCCATCGACTTAGGACCTGGAAGTCACCTATGATTCATTGTGAGCCTCAAAGCCCAGGCTGGTGGGAGAGCAGGGCAAGCCCTTCACATCACCGATGAAGAATCGATGTTCAGAATGAATGGGACCTCCCCGCAGTCCCACGGGCTGTGAGCAGACGAACCAGGCACTTCCTCGCTCCCTCCTCTCGCCCTGAGACTCGCCAGCTCCCAGAGGCAGGCAGAGCCCCGGCCCTTCTTCCAAGGGAGCCCTGAGGGAGTAAAACCTTTGAGGCAGGAGAAGGGACAACTCAAGCAGGATCCCTTGCAGAAATGCACAATTAATGGAAATGGGGAGGAGAGGGCACAGCAGGAGGCACCACCAAGTTGACAGAAATACTCAAGAGCAAGCATGTCAAACTCAAAGGCTAAGATGGGCCAAATAAACAAGGTTTACGTGTATGTGGGCCCCCCAAAACCAAAAGCTTCCATTTTCATAGAAACGCAGGTTTATTTCAATAGAGACATGCTGAATACAAAGGGCTGAAATAAATGAGTCATCGTTAACATAAAATAATAGAACTTTTAAATACAAATTAATATTTTTTCTTGAACATTCACTTAGCAGACACTGAATAGCTGCACAAATTAGTAAGCGTCACGCAAATAAACATATTTTTCTTGTTCTCTGAAAGCGAAATATTTCCTGTTGCGCACACCAAACAAGTCAGTCCAAGACTATGGGCGTGGCCATCGGCTGCTAAAATATTCACCGCTAGTATCAGTGGGGAGAAATGGTGCGCCTGTGCATAAGGCTCGTAAGGGAAATGAAGGCAACACGATTATAGTCATCAGCCATTAGCGAAGGTTGAAGTTTGTTATTAATTATGTATAACAGGATATTGTAAAAGTTAAGTTACGAAATTTTTATTAGAACGTTTCTTATATACCGTTATATTGGCTGGGCCACAAAAATATTTGTTATGGGCCACATGCGGCCCGAAGGCTGTGAGTTTGACATGCTTGCTCAAGAAGGTAGAAAAAAAAATCAAAACCAGAAAAGTGCAGAGTCAGGACTGCCAAAAATGGAGTGAGTGCTTGGTGATGCCAAAGGTAGAAGATGATTTGGCATGGAGGTAACACATCTGATGGTTGACATTTTTTCAAACATTTAACTGGAGATATTGAGGGGAATAACTCCTTCAACATGTTTTACCAGTGATAGTGTCCACTTGGTACATGAATAAAAGGGGTCGCATTTTGTTTTCCATACGTGAAACTTCTACTTCACACATTATATGAACAGAAATGAGTGTCAAATGTTTTTCGATGCTTAGAAAGTGAAAAGTCTAGGAAAATAAAGCATGGACAGAATCAGTCTTATGGAAATATAATTTGATCTTTTAAAAAGCTCAAATGTATTGCACCATAATCTGATCAGTCATTTCACTTTTTATTTGGCGAAAAATTATTTTTAGCTTTTACCTTCTCCACAGTTGAGAGGCTTTGGATAAACATAAATGACAGTTCACTTTTTGCTGTGATCTGTTTTGCTAATTCAAAATTCCAGTAAAGGAAAAGAGTAGGAGCTATAAGTGAGCAAAACTACAGTTACAGGCAAAGGAAAAACAATACATAGGAACTAATTTACCAACTTCTGTGTTAAGGGGAAGTTTGCATGTAAAGAAAAATGGGCTCTTTATCCCGGTTCCGACATGGGTGATACGAAATCTTTTCAAAGACAATCGACTCTCATTACTGACACTTAGAGCACAGCACAGTCTCCGCCCAAGTCAAGTTTCAAAGGGTCCTTGGAAATTACATCCACCTTAAAGTTTAAAAAATGGAATATGACAACGAATTAAAAAAATCAAAGATGCACAGCTAATCCAACAACTGGCCACTGACCTTGCTCAACTCGGAAGAGGGTCTTTTCCAGCTTCTCCATGTCGTTCAGGAGTAAAATCCGGATCTGCTTACTGTGCCCCATGCTGGCTGCTGGAGGGCTGGAGGCCTTTCTGCAGAGCGAGGACTCCGGAATCCAGTGAGCGGCCCCTGAGACACACACACACACACACACACACACCAGTCAGGATAAAGTCTGACTGCTCTTAAGTCCTCCAGGGCTGTCAGGCACACTTACATGTTCTAAGTATGGTTCACCCCGCAGAGCAAAGAGAAAGAGCGAGTCTTATGAATAAGACCAGAGAAGGCAAATTGACAGCTACTTAGTCACTTGAAACACAATATGACCGAAGCAAAAATATTGTTCTATATTCTTACAATTAAAAAACAACCCCCCCGCCCCCAAACCACACAAACAAACAAAAGTCCCCAAAGCACTGCGTTTTGTTATCAGGCAGGTGGGTGGGGTGAAATCCCAGCCCAGGCCAAGCCGCTGGAAGGCTCCAATGGCACCTCTGCCCAAGGGGTTAGTCCTTCCAAGGGAACAGGTGGGAGGTCGCCCGGTTCCCAAATCGGGGTCGGCAGCCACCAATGGGGAGAGGGGCCGCGGGGCAGCTGTCGCCCCCGGAATAGCTGCGGTGCACATCGGACGTGCAGCGGCGCTATA